GGCCAACAACGCCACGCTGCCCACGGTGGCAGCCAACTACGGCCTCAAAACGGTGGTGGACCAGCGCCCCCTAGACATAGCAGCGAGGATCACGCCGCTGGAGGTCGAAGGTGGCCAACGCTCTCCTGGGCGTCGTCACCGCAGTAGTAAGGAAAGGGGGCTTACACTACCCTATTAATTTTCGTTTTTTGGTCAAAAAAACCCCAAAACTGCACAATTTTCAACCAGCTGAACTCATCACCAGCGATGTCACCGCTTCATCACCGCTCCGTTTTTGGTGCAAAAAGCGCTCAAAACGGCCAACTCCGAAAAGTTCGTTTTTTCGTGTCAGACGTCAAATGTGCTGCCTGAGCCTCCAAATTCGCACGTTTTCGGTCAAAATCGGGCTCCAGACGTTCGCCGTGCTCTGGATTCCGTTTTCTGCCCGGAAAAGCAGGCAAATTCCAGCCCGCTGAGCTTGTCACCGTTCGCCTCCGCTTTGTCACCGCTCGCTTTTGGGTCGAAAAAGGGCGCAAAAGCGGCCCAGTTTCCGAGCTCCGGAGTCGCAGGGTTTTCCGCGGCCCGTCAGCCCGCCGAGGACCTGGCTCGGAGCGCGGCAGCCCGCCGAGGTTTCGGCTTGTGACACGTCAGCCCGCCGAACTTGTCACCGCCTTCGTCACCGCTCCGTCTGGCTCCGGTTTTGGTGCAAAAAGCGCTCAAAACGGCCAACTCCGAAAAGTTCGTTGTTCGCAAGTGGGGTGCCTGAGCCTCAAGTTTCGCTCGTTTTCGGTCGAAAGCAGGCTCCAGACGCTCACTTTGCAGGATTCCGCTTTCAGCCCGGAAAACAGGCGAATTCCATCCCGCCGAGGTTGTCACCGCTTGTCACCGCTTCGTCACCGCTCTCTTTTGGGCCGAAAAGTGCGCAAAAGCGACCAAGTTCCCGAGAGGACTTCTTCGTTGGCAAGTTTGAGTCAATAATGGAACCGGGTGATTCATGGTTGGGCAAGGTTGGTTCATAGTCGAGCCCCCAGACCAGGGGTGCAGAGATCTAACCACTGAGACAAGGGAGGTGTCCCACGGTCCGTGACACAAGCTTTCGTACCTGAAAAAAAACCTGGTTGATCCTGCCAGTAGTCATATGCTTGTCTTGGTCTGAAAGCGGAGTTCCATCAGTTCAAGGTCGGAATTCCGACTTCGCTATTTTGCCCCATGAAACTATGCGCGCCATGCATAGCTACGTCGGTCAATTCATCATGAGGCCGAGGTGTCCCAAGTGTTTTGACCGACGCCATCGGTCAATTCATCATAAGTGAAGGACCTCACTTCTTGTCCTGCTAGCCTAGCATGGAATTGAGGGAGACCAAGGTGTCCGACACCATCGGCCACTTCTTTCACTCACATCATAAGACTTCATGTACTGGTAGCCAGACAAGAAGACTCCATCGATTTTGCCCGTGGTCCATAGCGACTCAAGGGGGCCGTTGCGAAAGTACAACACCCCAGCGCTTCGAATTCGTAACACCTACTCCTAAGAAAACATGTTTGAAGGACCTGTCACGGGCAACATCCCGGAGGTCCTGGACAACGGAGAGGTAACTGACAGCACGCACGTCACTGCAGGGCAGCTCTGACACCCTACGCGCAAGTGGCTGACCTGGCGGTGAACACGGCAGCCTCCGGCAACAACGCAGCGGCCATCCAGTCCCTGGACGACCGAGTCACCGCGCACATGCTGCTCGTCAGCCACAAGCTGCGCGCTCTCAGCCGAACGCGCGCGGCGCAGTGGGCCAGCTCTGCAGGACGGTCCGCAAACGTGCCGCCGGCGTTCCAGAAGCGCGCGTGGGCTGGCAGCTTGGCCTTCAGCATCCAATCGCCGCCGCGCGATTGCCTCACGGAGGGCAGCAGCCGCTGGCGCACTGCCTCGGGGGTGAGCTTGCGGCCGCCAGCTGCTCTATCAGATCGGTCTCGGCCCGCTCCCAGAAGAGCCTCGTGCGGCCGTCGGTTGCGAAGCTCACGCTGGGGCGCTGGCCCTCGGAAAAAGCCCTGGGCTCCCATGGGATTTCCAGCGAAGCTTCGCTCTGCCAAAACAGCGGCTCCAGGCTCAAGAACTTGCCACCCTTAGCATTGGAGCGCCGTCGCCTGTGCGTGCTTAGTCGTGCTGGTGGTGATTATTAAACATGCCGAGACTGCTGGAGCTGTTTTGCGGCACAACGGGAATCGGCGTGGTGGAGGTGAACTCGAGGTTTTTGCGACTTTTGTTGTTCGAACTGGTCTTCGGGAGTTGTCTCGTGGTTCGCGCGCCTGCTCCCGGAACCGGCGGGTCGCGGGTTCGATTCCTCCCTGGTCCGCGGGCGGGCGTCGCAAGATGCAACTTGCATTTTAAAGCAACTTGCGCAGAGCAACTTGCGCAGAGCAAGTTGCACAGAGCAACTTGCGCAGACCAACTTGCACCGACCAGTTTGCGCAGAGCGCCTTGCCTAGAGCAACTTGCGCAGAGCAACTTACGCAGAGCAACTTGCACAGAGCAACTTGCACAGAGCAGCTTGCACAGAGCAACTTGCAGGGAGCGCAATTTGCACAGAGCAACTTGCAGGGAGCCACTTGCAGGGACCAACTTGCCGGAGCAACTTGCGCGGAGCAACTTGCGCAGAGCAACTTGCACAGTGCAACTTGCGTAGAGCAACTTGCGCAGACCAACTTGCACCGACCAGTTTGCGCAGAGCACCTTGCCTGGCGCTGTCTCGCGCTTGCTTCACGAATGCTTCGTGTAGGGAAAAAGAACGCATCCTGGGCCGACCTCGCTTGCTGGGCTGGAGGTGGAAAGAACCGTCTTGGAGCGAAAGATCCGTCTCGGAAATTTCTTATTCCCAGGGGAGGCGGTCACTGGGCTGGAGGTGGAAAGATCCGTCTCGGAAATTTCTTATTCCCAGGAGAGGCGGTCACTGGGCTGGAGGTGGAAAGATCCGTCTCAGAGTGAAAGATCCGTCTCGGAAATTTCTTATTCCCAGGAGAGGCGGTCACTGCGCTGGAGGCGGAAAGATCCGTCTCGGAAATTTCTTATTCCCAGGAGAGGCGGTCACTGGGCTGGAGGTGGAAAGATCCGTCTCGTGGAAATTCTTATTCCTAGGAGAGGCGGCCACTGGGCTGGAGGTGGAAAGATCCGTCTCGGAGATCCGTCTCGCTGGAGGCGGAAAGATCCGTCTCGGAGATCCGTCTGAGAAATTTCTTATTCCCAGGAGAGGCGGTCACTGGGCTGGAGGTGGAAAGATCCGTCTCGGAGATCCGTCTCGGGTCGCGGGAGAAAAAGAATTCCCAGAGGCACTCGCCAAGTAAAAAAAATGATCCGCGCCCGGGTGGAATCGAGCCCGCGGTCTCCAAGCTTCAGAGCTGCAGCGCCTCTTCCGATTGAGCTATGGATCCTTGCTAGTCCAGCACAGAGACTCCAGTGCCAGAGAGCGTCACCAGCTGATAGGTGGATGAACACGTCAGTCATCGCGTCGAGCGCCTTGAAAGTGAACCGAGCCAGGTCGCCCGAACGGGTGCTGACGCCGCTCAGGGGCATCTTGGGCACGCGCTCTGTCGGGAAGCCCGCGATGAAGCTGTGGCGCAGGTAGCCCGCGCGGTCGATGTCGATGTTGCGCACCGTGTCGTCGTAGGTCCCAGCAAGGACCGAGAGGAAGTGGAAGTGCTCCGAGGCTCCCTTCATAGGATTGTGCGGGTACTGCAGGCTGCCCAGCTGCATCTGCGACTCCAGGAGACTGTCTTCCTGCCTGGCCGCGCCGATGAAGGGGCACGTCCTGCCCCGGGTTGGCCAGCAAGTGGATCTTAGAGCCCGCATCGTTGTCCCAGAAGGTCACGAACGCTCCCATCAGTTTCGTGAAGGCACCGTGGACTGCTGTGTGTGCACCGTGGGGTAGCTGAACACGAGCGACCTTCCTAAAAAAAGGAGCACGCGGTTGAAGGACTCAACCAGCGCAGAGTCCAGGACGACCTGGGAGGCCAGAACTCGGACGTTCTGGATCTCGAAGTCGGTGCTCAGCGTGGCTCCCGCCGGGTGCGCCCCGGCGTTTTCGGACCACAGCGCAGTCGTCGCGTCTGCGAACTCGATTTCTATCACCAGGTTCAGCTGCGGCGGCAGCATCTTGCCGCAGCGTAGGATGCCCACCATGGTGGGGCGCAGCAGCACGTCCGCGTAGCCGCTCTGGTGCACCGCACGTGGCGTCCGGGAGTTGTTCACCTCGTCGAAGCCCTCCACGGCCTTGTTCTGGTTGTACTCGCGGCCCTTCAGCAGGTCACGCACGGCCACGGTGCGGCCGTAGTAGTTAATGTCGTCGCAGCGCTGGCCGTTGGCGAAGATCTGGATCCTCTGGATGAAGCAGGCTGGGTTCGGAGTGGCCGGCGCCAGCGGATTGGTGGCGTCCGTGTTTCTGACTCTGCTAAACTTTCTTTTCCATGCAACTGAACGCCTTGATCCAAGGTCATGCATCTCAGTCTACAAGACATGCTCCAAGCATCTCATGCTGTACACAAGTGTAAACAAAGGGAATGCAATTATTAGCACCCCGCCTTGAAATCTCCTGGCGTCTCCACATAAGGGGATTTCACATCCAAACAGTCACCTCCTCGTGTCCGTGAGAAACCTAAAAGAAAGGCTCATGCAAAAGAATTGCGAGCGCACACATCCAAGTGAAACTCTAAGCTCCTACACCATGCCCATGCGGCTCCAAGCCGTGGCGTAAACCCGTATCCACTTTTCACACGCTTCCAAATCTTATAAGTTTCTCGGCCATCCAAAGCAATTGCGGCATGCTGCTTTCCCATGCGTCTCTGCAAAGGATTTCAGCATTGTCTTCGTTTCTCTGCCTGCAATCCACTTGCATCCATGCTTTGTCACATACACTGTCAGCTCACTTCCAGAAACAGCCGCGTTGCTGCTTTCACGCAAAACAGTTTCATCACGACTGCCGCTGCTGCAAGCACGCTGCACTTTCTGAATCTGCTCCGAATTCACATCCGACTCTTCAGACTCCAAAATGGTAGTCTTCTGCAATGCTTTGGACTGTCTCCATCTCCTGCACCATGCGATGAAGACAACCACCACACATGTCGGCACGAGCATGTAAGCACGCAAATGCACACGTACAGGGTTGCGATCACCTCCAAGGTGTCCTGGGTTGTCCACTCCAAGTGAACTGCACTCCGATCTCCGTTGTCACTGCTATTGGGCTCAACTCCGCGCCGGCCCAAGGCGTCCACATCCTCATCCAGCTTCGAAGCGTCGCCTGCCTGAACGAGCAATCTCATCATGCCCGCGGCAAAGATCCGCTTAGCCAGATTCGTTGTAGTTGTGCTTCCTGTGGCCTGAAACTCAGGTCTCGCGCCAATCTCAGCTCGGATCTGCCTGATCAGCTGCTTGGCTTTCTCCTTCTCCTCAAAGGTATCGTACTCGTCCTGACCAACATTCAACCACGCTCCATGTTGACTGCCATCCTCATCAAACTTCACACATCCAAGCATGTGCCTAAGGAATTGCACGCGTCCCTTCGCCAAACATTTCGTGTTGAGGTCCGCGACATTGTACACTGTGGGCACAGATGCCAACTCAAACTCGCCGCGTTTCAGTCTCTGCTGACACCACAACATCTGTCCCTGAATGTGACGCGTCCGACCACAACCTGAACGCTGCATGATTCCCCGAGCTGCTGATGAATCCAGAAAAAGAACCACTCTCAGCTTCTCACCAAACGTTGCAAATTGAATGATCGCCTTTAAATAAAGAGCGTCGCATGCTGCACTGACTGCCGAAGTATACTCACTCTCCGCTGAGCTGAGGGCGATGTTCTTCTGTGTGCGAGAGCACGAGTAAACAGTATGTTTGTTCAAACAGAAAACTGCACTTGACGTGGACTTCCGGCCCACTCTGTCACCTGAACAATCAGCGTCGCTGAACACCTCCAGCACATAGCGGTGTTCACTGCTTTGCGAGATGATGCCCTGCCCATCCTGTGGCACTTCAAAAGAGAGGCCATCATACCGCACATTGACCAGATATCTGCACAAATGCACAAGCAGCTTCCATGCTTGCTTCCCAGGCGAGCTCATGGCTGATGCCAATGTTTTAATCGCAAATTGACATTCCAATAAATCTCCACTCAAATAAAGCAATATTCCTGTGGCTGTCCTAAACCGTGATGCTTCCTCTGGCTCCAATGGTTCTTCAGTGATACTCTCAAAAATGCCTGCTGGGGGAAATGGGGTCGATCTGCTGTTTGTACGTGAACCATCTAACCCAACGGCTTCAAACAGTCTGTCGAAATGACGTTGATGTGGCTGAATGACCAACTGCTGACTGGTATGCAAAAGGTGTTTCCGTTTCAGGAACCAAATCTCATCACCAGGGTCCCGCATTATGGTATAATCAATTTCATACTTCTGTTCCAGCTTTGCAACCACTTCATCCAAAACAAAAGATTCCTCACCAGTCGCAATCATGTCATCAACATGAATCATGCCCACGAACTTTTGCTGCGCGAATGACTGTTGGGCTCTCCACACAAACCTCGGCTGCGATCTGTTCCCGCAATTGGTCTGTGAATTGCTGATGCCAGTTCTGCGCACCATCACGTTGCCCTGGCAAACATCTGGACAATAAGAAATGTCTCTCCACACCTTGCAAATTTGCAGAAACCTTGGTCTCAATGGCCTGAGGAACTGTCAAATAAGCATCCTTGACGTCCAAACCCAACATCACCCAGCCAGCTTCTCGATTTGCCATGTACAGTGAAGGGATGAGCTTCGTGATGACCTGCGATGTAGCCGGTGCAAAAACAACTCTGTCCGGCTCCCACCAATTGAATTCTCGGGCCACAAATCGTGCCCTTCGCAGATAAGCACCTTGCCCATTCCGCAACTTGTACCTCCAGCTGCACACGAATTTCGTGGACAAATACCTTGCTGCCGATGTCGCTGCCTCATCCGCTGTCATAGGAATGAGGGCCGGATTTTGCTCAACCTGGCCAGCTCTTCCTCTTTGGCCAGTTCATCCAGTTCTGCCAGTTCTTCCACTGACATCTCCGGTTCTTTGCCACCAGTCTGTCTGCGGCTTTCTCTGAAGTGTACATCTGCTGCATCTCATCTTGCAGAGTGACCTCATGGTCCAGCAATGCTGGCTGATGAGTACCTTCAATTTCAATCTCCAACAACTCATCTCCATGAAAATATTCATCCTCGCCAATAATGCAACCCACGACCATTCCACTGGGCTCTACGCTTCATGAGCTTCTGAGAGCGAAACCTCAGGCTCCAACCGTGGCTTCTTGCGGGCCTCAATGCGTGGCCGCTTCTGAGGGGATGCATCACCTGGGTGCTGCTCTGTCATGCGCTTCTCCGCCACTGAAGGCATGTCAGCGTCACGAACATCACTCACCTCTGCACTCGGCGTGATCTCCACGTGCCCCGCCTGCGATGAACCTCCTCTGCTTCTTGTGCTGTGGAGACTCACCCTTCTCAGGCTCTTCCGGGGGCATCACAGTCTCAGGGTCCGAAGCCGCCTCGTCATCAAAGCGCTCCAGAGGGTTGACGAGCAGACTTGCCAGTGGCTCCCCATCTTCGAGAATAGGGAATTCAGCGTCCTTCGCGGTCTCTTGGGCTTGACTGCTCCCAAATATCCACCCAAGTGGCCTGGATGATCCCACGGCATCCTTTTGCATGCATCAACCATAGTCGCATTCCAACGATCCGGGATTCGCCGAATCGAACGAGATAAAATCAACTTGCCACCATGCGTAACCAACAAATGCATGTCATTTGCAGAAACACGTGTCAACCAAACACATCTGATCCAGCGAGGATTGCCCTTGTTGACCACCTTCACATGCGCCATGACCGACTCTCCGAATTGAACCAGCCGACTGCCATATGGGGCGCCTGTGATCTTTTCCCATGCCGTGGTGCCGTGAATCACATGGTATCTGCAATGAAGGAAACTTGCATGCACAAATGCCCAGCCATGCAACGGGTGTCCAGTGGGGATCTTCATCTTGCACCCTTCCTCCAGCTGTGATAGCAAAATGCATGCCTGGTACCGAATGGCCTGTCCGGCTTGCTCCACTTGCCCATTCGCCTGAGACTCACCAGTGGGGATTGTCTGCAACTGAGTTCTGCGCCCAATCTGCAACCTGATTTTCTGAATGCGTTTCTGGAGACTCGTCAGCGAAACCTCATTGTCACACTTCAAGATGCAATTGCTGTAACCCAAAAAGGCCATGAACCGAACCACTGCTGCTGCTAGCATCTCCGTGGCCAGTCCACCCTTGGCCGGAGTGGGAACCGCCTGCACCAATTTCGTTTGGCAAATCACCACGTGCTGTAAAATTGAAATTCATGCTTACCACCGGCAACCCATGCTCTGAGTCGCGCTTCACCAAATGTTTGTCTTCCCGAGCCTTGAACGAAATGCAATGACTGCACCAAGGCTGGTAAGGATAGTGCGTGAGAGCGTGCGCGTCCTGCTCCGTTTTGCTGGGCGCCACAACTGGCACAACCTCTTTGGCCTCATGTTTGGCCAACTTCTCCTCGTTGATGACCACCTTGTGATCCTCCACCAGTTTGTGACTCTGCTGATGCTGCCACAGCCTCTTCAGAATCACCTGCTTTCCACCTGATTTCGGCAAGCGCCACTTCTCACACGCCGTCCGTAGTGCCCTCAACGAGCATGCAGCATTCAATAGTTCACCATCTTGATCTATCTCAATCTCATCTGGATCTCGCGGAACTGCTGGCACATCAGCACCTGCTTTCGCGTGTTCCTCCACCACTTTGTCATTCAGAGGGGGCTCCTCCACCTCAAGCTCAATCTGTTTTTCTGAGGCTTCCACCACTGCCGCTTTGTCGGCTTCCTGAAGAGCGTTGCCGAAGCCCTTCAGACGCCTTTGCCATCTCTTCCTCCGACGATCTCCGAGGTTGGTCCTGCTTCCGCATCTCCTCTATCTCAAATCCAAGAACACCAGCATGCTGATATCCCTTGTGAGCAATTGTAATCACATCTGTAGGAAAATCCAAGTATTCAATCGGCTCATCTATGGTTTCTTTCTCCGACAGCTTCTCTGTAAATTCCACAAGCCACCATTTGTCACTCACATAAATCAGGGTTGTGCGACGGTCCACCGTCTCTCTCGGAAGATTGCTCGGCACATCCATGTAATTTGATCCGAAAACCTTCACTGCCCCAAACGCCATCTGAGAGCTGTGCCCATGCACTCGCTCCCAACTGCTTTGACTGCACGAATCTCAGCCTGCACACATAACGAATTGCGCACAAAATCTGTCGGTATGACAGTCTTGTCATTCCACAAGCTCATCTGTCCATTCACACTGCCGATGTTCCAACCATGTTTCAACAGTTTCCCAACTGAAAGCAATGGGGCTGAAACCGGGGCCACCAGAAATTCCTCTCGCTTCCAAAAGCCAAGTCCACAAGTCGCCGGCCCTGCACCTTCATCGGATGCCCCTGAGCATCGTGAAAACGCTGGTTCGCAGCTGAGCTCCGAGCTGGCATACCCACCTGGGCCATATGCACAGGCAGAATACTGGCGTCCGCACCGCTGTCCAATATCACATTTGCCAAAGTTGGCATAGCCGTGTTCACCTTCTTCACCGCGCGAATACATGGAAAGTCTTCGGAATAATCGGAAACAGAATCTGATAAATCATCCATGAAACCATCAAGAATATGGCTGCACGGCAAATGCAAATCCGGCTCTGTCCAACGCATGTCACTGTCGCTGTATGTCATGTCAAAGCAAATGCAGGACTGGTGGAGTTGCTCATGCTGTTCTTGCTCACTGACCATGAACAGATTTCCATGCTGAAACCATGCATCATCTGAACCATATGCACCAAATTGGGTCAAATCAAACACATCATACTCCTCATCAAGAAATTCAACACGTCGCACTGTGTTCCCTGCTGCGTTTGCTACAGCACCTGACGCAGGGACCTGTTCGGCTGTCTGATCTTCAGCGCGTCTCACACCATGACTGTTGGTCTCACGCTGAAGCTGCCAACAATCGCGTTTCCACTGCCCTGGTTTTCCGCAATGTAAGCAAACATTTGAAGAAGGTCCAGGTCCGTTACCTTTGCCTTTCTGGTTACCGTAACCTTTGCCCTTCTCCGATTTGCCCAGCTGCTTGTCCTTTCCTTTGCCACCTTTGTCCTTGCCAGTTTTGTTCTTCCCTTTCCCTTTGTCGCATTTTCCTTTTCCTTTTCCTTTGCCCTTGATTCGGTCAATCTCCATGGGGGTTGGCTCATCCTGATCCTGATAGCTGGCTGCTATAGGATTAGCCCATTTCGTCTGTGAAAGTTCCCAACGTTGAACCAGTTGTCGAAGTTCACCGTATGTTGAGCTATCTGCAATCATCAAATTGGTATACTGTTTGAGTTGACCAGTCAAGCACTTCAACAAAATCGCCATCTTGTGGTCGTCAGTGAGTGTTGTGTTGGAAGCCAACTCGAATTCACGCTGCGCCTGTTCCAGTTTACTCAACTGAAGCATCATGCCTTGCTGAGGAGAAAAACTCGGCCATGAGTTGATTGCCTGAAGCAAAGCCAATGCGCGTGTCCGAGCTGTGGGAAGAAGGACCCTGTAACTCTCAAAACCATTACCACTCTCAATACCCTTCAAAATCTGTCTGCATCTGTCATTGAGAAGCGAGGCCAAAACTGCAAATAGTACCTGACTCCGATGTTTCGCCTCCTCTGTCATGGAACTCAATTCAACAGGGGTTTCTCTCGCTTTGACTGCAATAAGATCTTCCACATACCCAGGGTCAACCGCTTCCAACCATCTTTCCAGTTTCCAGCTCCACGACCTCCACATGGAAAGTTCCTCATCACGTGTCTTTGCCGGGAAGGGATCTGGCTTAGGCAAAATTCGAAGCAGCTCACGTGAATCTATCCTTGCTCTGTCTGCTGGCGCACCACCACCTGTCTGTAGTATCGCCATTCTCTGCACTGCTTCACTGCTTGCTTGTGCCGCTCGCATGGCACTTCGCAACATTGTCCGTAACTCATCTATCTCGGTCGGTGGCTCGATGTCAAGGTCATCCCCTAAGGGGATATCCACACCAGCACCGTCCATGGCCCTAGCCGGTTAGAGCGTGTTGCCCGTCACCGGCTCCGCTACCATGCTAAACTTTCTTTTCCATGCAACTGAACGCCTTGATCCAAGGTCATGCATCTCAGTCTACAAGACATGCTCCAAGCATCTCATGCTGTACACAAGTGTAAACAAAGGGAATGCAATTATTAGCAGACTCTGAAGGCGATCTTGACGACTCGGGGTCGATGAACGAGGCACCGCTGGTCAGCGGAATGCGGCAGACCCTCGAGGTACGCGCAGCTGATTCGCCTGCTGGGCGAGCTGTTGGCGCGCGAGCCGGAAGCGCCGTTCACCCGCCTCTTTCTCTTCTACGACCGGGCCGCGGAGAACAGCGCGCTGCCCTGCGTGGCGGAGCACTGGTCCGAGCCCGTGCGCGCCGTGTCCCGCTGTGCATGATAGAGTTAGACCAGACCTTGCCCATCTTTTTTTTATGAAAAATCCTAGGGTCCCCCCTACACTTTTAGCAACATTTTGAAACAGTGCCTCAAAAAGCACATTTTCAAAAATCAACATTTCAAAGCAGGTTATTTCCTAGTCAGTTTATCCAATATTTTATATTCAAAATTTTCAAAAATATATATGGGCAAGGTTAAGTTCATTCATTTTCAAAAAATATAAATTTTAAAAAATAAATTTTAAAAAATAAATTTTAAAAAATAAATTTTAAAAAATAAATTTTCAAAAAAATAAATAAAAAAAAACAAAAAATATTTTTACAAAAAAATAAAAAAAAATAAATTTTCAATAATATTATTCCAAAAATTATGATAAATTATTATACAATACATTTTATCACAAATTGTGTAGAAATATTATGGGCAAGGTTATGTTCATTCGTTTTTTACGGGCACCATTCTTTCTTAATTCTTTCCATTATTTTATCACACGTTGTTTCAATATAAATATTACTTCTTATTTGTTTTCTAAACATTCCCATTATTCCAATTGCACGTGTTATTGTATATCTAAGTTCGTGAGTTTTATACCGATCATTTAAAACCTCATGTAAAAAATCAAGGTCATTATCATTCAATGTTTCATATTTTAAACGTTTAATGCTAGAAGACATATTGTATAATCTTTTTACCATGCTTTTATACTTAAAAATAAAGTCATTAGCGTTTCCTTCATCATCGCCCTCATATAATAAATTATCAAACCCTTCTATAGTTAAGAAATTATTCATTTCAATAAACACAAATATTTCTAAATCATCATCAATAGTTTCATTATTTCTAATATCAATATCTTTGTTATCCAATTCTATTGCAACTATTGCATATCATATATTGACAAATATAATTACAAACGCCATTTGTAAAACCCTGTTCAATTGGTAATTTTAGCATTTCGCAGTCTTCACATTTATAACTCATAAACTTTTTTCAATATATTTTTAGCATCATGGACTGTATCACTCATCACACTATATAATAGTATTATAAAATATTTCTTTAAATACTTTTACAAGAATTTTAATTTTAAATTAAAATTAAATTAATAAATTAAAATTAAATTAGGTTATGTAGATAAAATTTCATAATTTAAGTTCAGGATAATAATTTAATTGATGACTACTAAGTTGTATATATATCGTACGTCTTTCATGCATTATTTTTAAAATAATATTAATATCTCTCACTGCATTTTAATATTAAACTTTTTACTTTCGATATATGTTTTAATGTCTTCTTTTACATCAAAACCTTCCCTACTATGATAAGTCAACATCCATAATATACTTTCAATCATTCTATATTTTTCTTACTGATTTTTAGAAATATTCTAACATAACTATAAGGTGGTCTTCCATACACGGTTAAAAATATTAAAATTTCATCTTCTACGTTTCTTTTATCTATTTTTTAATCTCCAAAATATTTTCAATTATATTTTGATATCGTCGCCATCTTCTACAAGTTCTACATACATCTTCTTCGTCCAATGCATAATCAATAATATTATTCACTATTCCATTATGTAAATTCAATTTATACAATTCCATATTTTCCTTTTTAAAGCGGCAACAATCATAGCATTTTTTATTGATATAACTATTGATTTTGGTTTTCATCATCTCACTATATAATATCTATAGGTAATATTTCTTTAAATACTTTTTACAAGAAATTTAATTATGATAATTAAATCAATAAATTAAAATTATAATTAAATTATCATAATTAAATTATAATTATCATCATTTACAACTACAATTACATAATTTACAAACTGGGATGATATGTTCTATTGTATGAGTTAATTCATTGTCTTTTCGTTGTGCTGTTAGATTAGTCATTATACTACCATTTTTCATATCAATAGTAAAACCGCAACCGCAGTAGTTACATTGATTATTTATATTATCTAAAAACCATTGAGTATTTACATAACCTTCTCTAGGTATGCTTCTTTTTGCTTTCCTGTCTTGTTCCTTATAATTCAAAATTTTCCTTTCAAAATAACTCATAATACATTTTTGATTAAATACATCATCAACATCCTTTGTATATTTATAAAATTTGACTTTGTTTAAATCACGAGCACGTGTTACCGCTGTAAAAAATGCTACTACCTTGAGTAGAATGACATGTAGAGCAAGAAGAAAATATAAAATTGCTTCTTATTTTAGCAACTTCTACGGATTGTGAAATTTCGGTTTTTACATTTTTTAATGTAAATATTCCATCACTTCCAATATGAACTATTTTATATTTGAAATTTACGTTAAAAACTGATGTTTTAGTTTTAGTATATTCTCTACAAATTAAAAATTCTCCTACTTCATATTCATCCTTTCTATTTTCTAACTTTCTAATTTCATTTGATACATTTTTACAGGTTGTATTCAAAAATGCTATGTTGTTTTTGGAACTACTTATGTCTGTGGTGTATTCAAATTTTTTCAATAATAGTTTTAATTGGTTAATTTATTAATAAAAATATCATATTTTATATTCTTGAGTTTATCCTTATCTTCCTGTGTGTTAAGTCTCTTACATTCTTTCAATATTATATTATGTGTAAAAATATTATCTATAATATTGTCAGTGTATAATTCATAGTCTTGAGTATTTGTTATTTCTTGCACTGGTTTTAATTGCTTGGTGTCTCCTGTCGCTATTATAATTTTGTTGTGCTTATTTTGCTCTACAAATTGTTTTATTCTCCAGTATATATTTAAATTACTAAAATAGATTTCATCAAATACTATTACATCAAATTCTGTAAAATCAAATGGTTCTAATTTAGCATCTCCATAATTAATACCAAAGAATTTATTTATCGTCATTGCTTCTCCTTCAAATGCCTGTAATAGTTTATTAGTAGGACAAATAAAAATTACCTTATAATTTTTATCAACCATTTTTTGACATATATATGATTTTCCTGTGCCCGGTAGTTCACCTCTGATCATAATAGGATTATTCTGTTTAACAATCTCTATAATGTTATCAGTGTCGTATTCATCTTTA